TGGAAAACGAACGGAAGCTCCTAAAAACTGTGTGCACTGCTGAATCCACAGCGATCTATACGATAGTAATTCTTGATTTTCCCGAATGAAATGTCGAACAAATTCTTCATAAAATGAAGCACCATCCTTATAAAATGGACCTTGTTTATAAGGTTCTGTTAACTGAGAATGATAAACATAACTGTCTTCAGTTTTGTATACATTTTTTTATCAATGCATTTGCGAAAGCGACAGTATAGTGCGCCGTTTCGAAGTTTAGGAGAAAATGGTCTTTACATCACTATAACTCTACATTTTAAATACTTTTCTTAGGCCTCAACTGGAACAGTTCCTTGGAAATTGTTGGTTCAACCAGCAAAAATTTTCATGAAAGTACTTTTCGATCAACAGTTAATTTCACGTGATGGAAAGATCATTTGATCTTACCAAACCAGACATTTTTCATTGGGGCCATCTTAAGCTCAGGGTATTTATGAATAAATTTGTGTTAACATTAATGATCTTAAGAGGAATGAATATGCAGGGTAAAATTCGAAGAATACCACAGCAAATGTAAAATGTAATAAATATTTTTGTTACGCGCTTAAAAGAGTTCATTGCGAAAGGAGGACATTTGCTACACTCTATCTGTCACTAATGAAACTCCCTCCTTGAAATATTACTATGTTATACTGTTATTGTTACAATTATCAAAGAATTTTTTAATAAAGTTTTTAATAAAAATAGGTAAATGTATCTTGTCAGGTTCGATTTTTAGTAATGACACTACCTCCTCAGTAGTCGAAACCGAAAGGGTTGATCTATTTAACTTTAGTCAAGTCAAACGGTTTGCATCCATAATTTATCATAGGCTAAAATTGGCTAATTAAACAAGGAATTTCCTTATCTAAGAGCTAATTACGTCTTTATTACTGAAAACATGCCTTGTACAACTTGCTAAATTACTTAATTACTTGTTTGCTAACTCTTATAGTAGTTTGAAATTTGATTTTTAATTCAAAGTTTAAAAGGAAAATCAATATTAATAAGAAAATTCCATTTCAATATACCTATTTTCCAAAAGAAATTCTGACCAAATAGATGCCTTATATTTTCGAGTAGACTACGTGCTTACGAAAATACCCTTGGGTAACTGACAGTTCTATCTTCTTTTATTATTTAACTTTAATAATATGTAATACTAAAGACTAGGGAGTTAAATTTAGATTATAAATGCAGTTTTTTTAAACACATAAATAATACATAACAGCTGTATAGATACATAGTCGTACGAAAGTAACAAATTATGTATTTAATGTTATGCATACTTTGGAAGTTGTCTCGGACTCCACTGTCCTCCAATACACGTCGCTCCTGGAGGACCTTCTGCCAATATATATCCTTTATCACAATCATACATTATCTGCTTATTGTTAGTAACTTTTTTCACATAAGGCCTATAATCATACAGGCCCATATTGCCCACTAATAGAATCTTACCATTTTCTACTATTCCAGGATAGGGACAATAAACTAAAAATGAAATAAAATTGTGATGGTAAAGTGTTTTCTAGACAATATATATCTTACCTTCTTCACATTTCGGCACTTCTCCAGTCCAGTTTCCAAACGAACATTCCATTAAATGTTGACCTTTTAGCTGATAACCGTCCTTACATCGAAATCTTGCCTTCATTCCGTGTTCCATCTTGGGTGCCAGAACCATTCCATTTCTAGGTGACTTTGGCAAAAGCTTGCACCTTTAATACAATAAACTGAGTAAACACTCGCGCAAAAATAATAATGAAATCTCACACTTGCAAAGAACCCCTGGAATTTCAATTTCGTGTGGCAGAAGAATATTTAAATTTTAGCAAAACGAGATACTCTATCTTTTATAATCAATATAATTCCAGAAATAATGTCAAGTGTCCCATTCTTCTCTTTAAATTCCGTTAATTTTAAAGAGCCACACATTCTTTTATTTCAAATTGTGTTGCATATTTTTTGTCCATGTTATATAAAATCAAACAACTCTCTTTTATTTAATATACTCAGGCATTATAAGAGTTCTTGAGATATTTACGACTCCTTATGTCTTCAGAATTCGTACCACTATTAAAATAACCTTGAACGTAAAATATTTAACTAAAAGTTTGTTTAAAACAAGTACTTAATGCTTATTACATCTTTATATTTAAGCAATAAGATTTAGATTATGTCTAAAAAATTGTCTTTTTTTAATTACTATTGTTATTAATATTATTTCATACTTGAATAATAAAAAAATCTGCTAGTAACTAGTCCCTATTTTTCTTCAGGAAATGCCATGTTTAATAATAATTGTAGATTCAAATATCCGGAAAAGTATTTGATTTTATTTCATTTTGATTGAAAACAAATTTGATTCTGTTTTCTGTTTTCGTGCTAGAATATTAATATAGTCATGAGAGTAATAAGATGTATGGGACGTTTTGTTTAAAATAAGGAAGTAGACTTCTACTTCCGGAATATAAAGAATCGAGTTGGCAATATGTGAAGAAAACGCATCGAAAAACCTCCCTTTATAAATTATCGGATTTTAATGTTAATTCTTCGTCTATGCACCCCTAACGAAAGAGAAAAGTTCATGATGACACTCATCAGACATAACAAAGCTCAATATCACTCAGTAGAACAAAATTATATACAGCGTGTCCCACTAGTGCGGGAAAGTCCAATATCTATGTTAAAATGAGGAATATATGGATTTTTCTTTTTACTGTGTTGCCACATTTCTCGGAATGTACAAATTAAAAATATATTCAACTATACAGGGTGTTCCACTTTTCCTGGCCAGACACCAACTTTGGTTTTTTAAATGGAAACACACATTTTTTATATTTTTTTCGGATTCTACATCAAAAATAAAGGGTACTTTGTGTAGAATAGTTCTATTCAAATATTCACAGTTTTTGAGATATCTCGCTTGAAAGGTTTTTCTAGTCGATATTGGTTGCTTACATTTTCTGATACTGACAGGTTATACTAATAGCTACTAAGCCCATTTTTTTATCAGATGTTTAGTAAGGATGACTCTTCCGAATCATGCTCCAAAAACTGGCCTGCGTTATACAGGGTGACCAAAATATCATGTCAAAATTGCCAATTGAAAAATTGAAAAATCTCGAATTGTTTAAATGCAACACCCTGTATATTTTCATACCATGAGATGCAGAATTAAATTATCTACAACTTTGCTATACTTTCTCCTATAACCAAAATTCATTAGTTTTTCATGAAATCTCATTTCTATGAAAAAATGCGAAATTTACAAATAATTTATATGTAAAATAACGTAGTAGGCTCCTGTCAAAGGATAATCTGTAAAATTTTCGATTCACATAAGGTTTAATAGAAAAGCGACAGTAATAATTGTGAAATGAATTACTCTAAAGAAGAATAAGTAAATATGGTGTACGCCGTAGGAGAAGCTCATGGTAACTGTTTATTGGCAAGTCGTATTTATCAAGCTAATAATCCAGATTTACAAAGATATCTTCGTACAAAGTGTTTTGTAAAACTGAAATGCAATAAATGAAAAACCGGCAAAAATGAAATAACGGCAAATGCAAATTATGAGAAGACAACAAGAACACACGCAGGCAGTAATCAGGATAGTTAAATTGACATTTTGGGATGTAAAGTCCAAAATACATCTACAATTTTCTTTACATAGCCCACATGATTCCAAGCAACTTTTATTAAAACTATTTTTCTATAAATTTTACAGTTGCAGAGTTACAGAAAAATCCCTCTTAGGTGGAACACCCTGTATATTACAATTATATAATGAATAATCATTGAAATAAATACCTGGCTGGTTCACATTTGGGAATAAAGGTCCATGTGCCGTTGTTGCAAGTGACTGGTGATAAACTAGCCAAAAATTCATATTGGGGGTCACAGTCGACGGAAAGAGCCTCACCGTGTTGAACTACAGTAGAAGTCGGCGCCGTATCATTTCTGGATAACAGGATTACTCGTCCTTGGGATACGTGAGGTACCACACAAGGTGCTGTAAAAAATATAATTTGTTAAACAAACAGAACGTTGTCTAAATTCGCATTTCTCTAAAAATGTACTTTCCGTCAATTGGAAACAAAACAAAGATATACATTTTTGTACACAGATGAAATGAAGAATATATTTTATTTGTGTATAAGCAGACCCTCATTTTAAATTAAATAAACTATATTCCATCAGGGAAGCATTTATTGAATGAAAAAATTATTTTACTTTGTTTAAGATTAAGCATGTTTATAGATGCATGTAGATAAATGTAGATATTCTTGATTCAAGACAATATATCTGTGTTATTTTCAGTCAGTGTACAATGATTGAATTTCAAACGTTTATAGGCAGGAAGTTTATACGTAGCATCTACATTTCGTAGCTATAACCCCAACTGTTCTGAGGATTTTATGATTTCAAAGCAAGACGAAGTTGCTAATAATGTAACTTTAGCTCTAAGCTCCTGCAATAACTTTAAACTACATTTAGCAACATAAAGGATACCCATAGTGCTAACTATGGCGCCTAAGTAGAGAGAATATAAAGTCTCAGCCATAGCAGGAAGGGTGGATAAATAAAATTTAAGTCAGCTTGTTATATGTTGGTCTAATTACAGCATGTTTACGTAATGTGTACTAGCTGTTATTTTTTTCAGCCACAGTAAATCCAAAATAATTTGTTATCTAGTTATATTTGGATAATAGCGCTTAGGGTAACATCAATTTGCTGAAAATAATGCTAGAAATATACAAAGTGGTGATAAACATTAAAGCTTTTACTAGCAGTATTAGTTATTTTGAAGTTATAATGTCTAATGACTTGGAAACTGTCGAAGTGGTTGAACTAAACAATTTCCGAGCTAGTTGCTAAATATTTCCACAAAAATTCACATGCGAAAAATGAACATTGGAACTTGATCAAAATCTTTTTATTATGGTTCTATGATTAGATCGTTCAGTGTGGAACTTNCGTACAATATGAAGGTCGATCTCGATTTTCATATAAACTTTATAAAAGAAATTGAGAAGAACCCGATATTTACGATCATAATCAAAGTGACTATAGTAACAGAAAGGCAACGGAAAGGTTGTGGACAAAAATTGGCAAAAATAATTTGTATTCTGCTTCCTTTTATTCGGTCCAATTAAACGGGCTAGTAATTTAAATGTTCCTTGATTCATTCTATAGTATGAGTAGAATTTTTCCCGGATTTAATTCGCATTATTTGTAAAAGCAAAATATCGTCTTCATCCGAAGTGGATATGTTTTCCGTCGATGTGATCTTGATGTGAGAACTCGTTAAATACGGTAAAACAATTGCTGTGTATCTTCGGTGTGTGGCCTAGCTTATTTAACATATTGTCACTTCTAGCCCAGCCATTGAATTAAGCTAACTAAAACAAATTTAATATACAGGGTGTTTCAGAAAGACCTCCCGTAAATTCAGGGGGTGATAGTACGACAAAAAATTAGAATTTTTTGTCTTATGAATTATATGTCTATCTCCTCTTGTTTTCGAGATACAGAGCGACAAAATAAAAATTTTTAAATAGAATTTTTACGAAAATTTGGTATTCCGGGATTTTTAAGGACGCCAAATACGCTGGTCTAATTATTTTTTGTATATTTTATAGAGGGCGCTAGTTACGCTACATTTCTATTACATTTTAGGTTCTAATTTTTTTAAGGTTAGATTTTTTAGCATTCGGGCTCCAATTTCTAATGTACAATTTTATTTTCTAAAAATAATGCACTCTTGTTAGAACTTCCTAATGTGGACGGTTTTCGAGAAAAAAGGCTTTTAATTGAACTCTTACAATATTACAGTGTAGAAAATAAGTGACTATTCTCAAAGTAGGCTTATGTCAAAACT